CTAAAGAAACGTGGCACGCATTACTTCAATAAAAAACGCCGCGTTACTAGTCTGTTTATTTGTTATCTGAGGTCTGCAAATACGCTATCTTTAAAAGAGCATGTGACATGGCACAATAAACTCTCAAATATACTATTCATCCAAAGACAACATTATGCAAAAATATAGCAATGCTAGGTGGTTTATTGTTTCCAACACCAGTTGAGAAGCATACCGACGAAATTTGTTTTTTTGATTATAGTGAGTTAAAAGAAATGGTATCTTAAAATAATACAAACCAGATTTAAGCAGATAGATGAAGAACTATGAAGTGGATTTTCTTGCAAGACTGTAACAGTGAGACACATTCCTGGTAATCACGTGATCGTGCCAACGACTGCAGCGATTGGCTGATCGCTTATTTAGTCTGCCATGCCTTAGAGATTTTTCGGGTATAGTTTGTAACACTTTGTAAAAGAGAAGAACGAGAGAGGTGGGCACCGAGAGGTTGCCTCAGCTGACCGTTTTAATGAATAAAGCTGGACTATCTGTAATGAACTAATGTGTAGTCTTTTGGGGTCGAAACTGGTATCTCTATATGTAAGTGTTATCAGCTGAGCGAGTCAAGCTTTCCTCATCTCGGCATTTCTTTGTCGTTTGTCAACATTTTGTTTAAAATATGAGGCTGAGCTCTGAATTTGAGGCTGGTTTGTGAATCTGAGGCTGAGTTCTGAATGCGAGACTGGGTTACGAATCTGGGGCTCGGTTGTGAATCTGAGGCGGAATTCTGAATCTAGGGATAAGTTTTGAGTTTGAGGCTTGGTTCTGAGTTGTCGAGTTTAGAATCTGACCCTGAGTTGTGAATCCTACGCTAAGTCCAAAATCTAAGGCTGTGCTTTGAATTGAGATTGGTGCCACACTCATTGAAAATGCTTGAAACATTGACTGTGTTAGAGTTTCTCCTACATCAAATCAGGTTTTGCGTATAACTACATATCCGAATATATGCGACAACGTTTTCTATGACTACAAATTACAAAGCGATATATGTATATAGAATATGTCGCAGATATCCATTTGGCCCATATTTATAGGTTTCTGTGACTTGGACTATGACCAAATTGTTCAATTTCAGTTAAATCGGAAATATTATTTTGATAATATTAATTTATGCCATAATATGTGCAAATAATGGTAATAAGATAAACTATACATTTATTCATATTTGTACTAAATGAAATAATTGGAACACAATGGAGAAGACGTGCCATTAAAATAGCATGCTACAACATTGCCAAAATTCACAACTCATATCTTGTTAACCTTTGTAACATATTAATTTACCGCAATATCCTAACAAATGTCGTGATACTCGGTGTTGTAACGGTAATACATTCCTGTAAATGTACATTGTTTCCACGAAGTTTAATGCGGTTGCGCAGTATAGGGTAAACACTGGGCTTTAATGTAGACAGCCATTATGCCGAACGTTGTACTGAGACCGTCGCAGATATATTTTCTGCACGATTCCATAGACTGTCGTTTTCAAGACAATACAACTTCTTTGATACCTTTCAATCATCTAAACAGTACCTAATTAAAGCTTGGTAACGTGTCAGTTTGTACTGGTTGATCTGCGCATCAGCCAAAGTCGCCATCTCTTTTTATATGAGACCCATATATCTTGAACATGCAAGGCGCGATGACCACCATCCTTTAAGGCTATTTAGGCGATCCCATCTGACTGACAAGTAAGTATTTGGTTGAATCATATGGTGTTGTGTGTTATAGGAAGTAGGTGATGTTTTAAATCTTTTGGTTATGTCATTTGAATCAAGAGGGGGAGGCTAAAGTACTTGATCGGAAAGTATGATTATATTTGTTCTTTGGAAATGAATGACATATTTGTACTTGACTGTGACCCAGCCACAAATCGATTGCCTACACACATGCTATAGGAAGTAAAATCCCGGGCTGTAAATTAGTCAACATCAAACCAGAAACATAGAATGTAAATGCATGGACATGTCTGTACAGAATACCAGTTTATCCCTCATTATTTATGTGGACTATGTAAAAACCATCTCAAACCATCTCAAGCCAATGAAAACAAATTCGGTGTTTCCAGTATTAGCGTAAAAAAATATTAGGTAGTTAGGCAAGGATTTTTTTTATTATTATTTTAGATTTTTTTCTTAACATGTTCAGTCTACATCAAATACAATCATTTTAAACAATTGTGTTTTGACATGATGATATTAATATCAACTTTTGTTCATGTTTTTATATTTTACTTTACGTCTACGTCACGTGCGTACTTTCCCCAACGACAACAATATGATTGTCTTTCCCCATTGTTCATTGAATTCTGCTACCTTTTAAGTAGGGACAATTGTTATGTACTGTTCAATCAAAACAATCCTTGAACTAACAATGAATTTAATCTATGACCATCCATGACGAAGTGAATAGATAGCTAAAATTAGAAACTACGCAATTTGTTTGCTTATGTGTATAAATGGTAAGAGCTGTTTTGGAAGAAAACGACACGGAGAGCTGCAGCGAAGATCAAAGCAACAACGAGTGAGTCAAAATTAATATCAGCTCGATTGGTGACGAGGGGAGCTGCAGTCAAATGGATTGTTAGCGAACCATCCAATCTTACTACTATGATAAAGTCATCACCCGAGACTCGTTTATAGTAAGTGATTTTATCAATCATGAATTGGATCTACGTGTATTAAGAATAAACCTACTAAGCGTTACATACTGGACTACATGTATCTGTATCTCTTCTCTGTGTACGCATTTCCATAAAAATAAAAATTCGCCTAATAACAAATGGCAACACATGTCATTGTTTCAGGTGAGTGGCATGAACTGTTCATCGGTGGCACCATTTCAAAAATGGCAGCTGGCGACAGCAAAACTTTCACTGGTGTACATGTGTATGTAGACATCAGCACAAGGAATTGGCCCCTATCAGTTTCTGCCTAATAAATGACAGTTATGTACATTCCTGCTGTGGCTATTTACCTACACTAGCAACATCACAAGCATGATAAGAGCATTTCTGATGTACACATTGCAGCCCTTGCTGTTTCTTGTATGTGACAAAAATCAGCCTAAATCACAAGAAAATTGTATTGGGCCAAACAATGGCCATAAAAAAGTAGGAATGGGTACAGCCAACGATGCCAATTCATGTGGTGAAAGAAACAAAATTATTGCATGACTTTCTGCTCAATATTATACAGTGTGTGGTAGCTTATGCCGAATAATGGCGTGGTCACAAATGATCATGAAGATTAATCATGATCACATACTTCATATACACTATAACATTACATTAATGGGCAAAGCCTATAAATCAGATCCATGCCCCTAGACATGGCTACATCCCAGGTCATCATTTTGCCAATGCCATTCTTGCAATTTCATTATTGATGGCTGTATAGACCAGACTATTAATGATCAATTATTTACACATATCGTCCCTAATTTTTGGTTTTAGATGCTAAATTGAGATGCATCGTGACAACGGTGGCCGTGCAGGACCGGTAGGTTAGGTAATTGTTACTAGTCGCATCGTGCATGTGCACATCACACAAATCGTATTAGTTCACAGGCCATATGCCTAGTAAATCGCTGTCATCATTTATGTACGATGTAATGTTTGGCGATGACATGCTGCCGTTGCTGCAATTACGTATATTTTTATCATGTTTAGTTTTGGCCATTAGATTCCCTGATTCATGACATCATGTACCAATAAACCCTGAAAATCGGTTTGTTAAGCGATAAAGTCGTTTAGTTCTAAACACTCAATGATCATAGCATGGTGTGTAGAGTTTTGGAGGTAAAGCAATTGTTAAGAATATATTTATATTTAAATGTGTGAAAAAGGGCACGAACTCTTACAATGTCTGTATGGCGTCTTCGGCTGGCTGGCAAAATAATCTACGTCATCGAACGGTGCGTGTACGTGTACTCTAGATTTTTGTGTGTCAATTTATCTCCGCTTTTTTCAACAAATAATTCACTTTTTTCTCCCGGGAAAACGTCGTCAATCTTATTTTATTAACCTGAACTTTGTCTTGATAGCGCAAATTACACCTAGATAAGGGTCTTTGGTTGATTTCTGGCACCCAACATTGATTCTTGATTCAGTCCTAATTATGCCTTTAAGACATCTTGAATTTTCAAGGAGAACGTTCCGGCGAAGCACTCCACTATCATCACGGGAGGAATGTTTGAACGGAATAACACCGTTATTCTCGCATGAAAATACTGCCGTCTACGGCAGGTCCCGGGATCATATCTTCTAGCATATGTTTCAAAAGGAAAGTAGTTTGATTCTTACGTTCCGTGTGTGAGAAACGCGCCAAATTGTGAGATTGACAATGAAGTGACTAGACACCTTTTTTTTAAATATTTTTTGTTCCAAGCGACAGTTCTGGACATTGAGTGTCACTGTTGTCTCTCCTGACATTTTTTTGTATGTGCAAATTGCAAGTGCGAGTGCTGACACACAGTGCATTTTGCCACAGAAGTCATATTCATGTTTAGAACTACATGACAGGGCTAGCGCTGTGTGGCCATCTCTCTGTCAAATGGCATTTTTTAATGCGCTATCCTGGCGTCAACCAGGCTCGGTCGAACACGAGCACCTGCGGACCTTATCCAAGGTTCCCCCAAAATCGTTAGTGAATGAATCTCGGCCAGTGGAATTGGCCTTCCCATTGAGTCTGTGGCACACTCACCCAGGGTAGGGGTCAACCTTTTTGATCTTCAGCCTAAGGTAGGATTTGAACTTGGGTTTACCTTTAAATTCAACAACAGGAACAACTAAAATAGTTCAGGCTTCGCTTAATCAATGATGTGTAATACACCCAATCGACTGTATAGGTCACGTGGTTTGCTAGAGTTCTGGCGAGCGTCGTATTTTCTACGAAATGGTGACAGTTCATTTTATTCCGCATGCGCAGTCTAGATAACATTTGGTAGGTTCAACAACCGTCATGCCGAACGTTGTACTGAGACCGTCGCAGATATATTTTCTGCACGACTCCATAGACTGTCGTTTTCAAGACAAGACAGACATGCTGGATACCTTCCGACAATTGTTGTACAAAGAGATAAACCCAACGGCAATTCAACCAATTGCTGTATTCGATAAGAACGACAAATTGTGGGTGTACGCAGGTAATAGAAGACTTTATCTGTTCCGGAAACTAGAACAACTTGGGGTTGTTGAGTATATAACTGCATGGAGAGTTCAGAAGGTCGATCCTGACAAGTGGGCAAAAAGAAACACAACTAACAATGGTGGGAGGTCAGTGTCAATACGTAACGCCCCGCAGTTTGAAGACAAAATGCAAAAAATTGTCAGAGAGTGGAAATCAAAAAAACGCACGGGTAAGTGATCTAGTTAGCTTAGAGTAAATTATTATGTTATTGTGACTTCTTACGAGCGAGGAAATGAATAAATAAATTGCTGTGCTTTGCAGAAATGAAAAAGCTTCAAGATTCAAAGAAAATCAAAACAACATCAGTACCTCGAACTACAAATAAATCAGACTCCTCGTCTCACCAAGTTGACCTTAACAAGGAACAGCGATCTCTGACTGGCTCAGCTCACATTTCCCCCAAATGTAAGTATAACACATTAACAAAAATGTGAATTATGTGAATTATAACTTTAAGCTAAGAATTTCAAAGCAGAAATTTCAACAGGTAGTTGATTTAATTACATATCTTGCATTATTCATTTTGTAGAACAAATGGAATGATACGTAACAATCGGTTCAATGAATAAACACATAGTAATTATTATTATATATATAAATGAAGATGTACGCATGCGTAGTAAAAGTTTCATTGATCGATGCAACCAAAGCCTGACGTTAAAGAATACTGGAACTTTCGAGCCATAAAACAACTTATATGTGCTTTTCCTTTGCAGACACCAACTACCAAGCTACTGGCAGTACGGACCGAATTATCACTCCTCGTCAATATATCCCTTATCAACCACCAGCTGTTACTCCGAGTACCCGAACATATCACCACACAGTCACTATGCCTGACCCTGTGTCATCTAGTGACCGCAATACGCGAGAAACAAACGTTAAGAGCCGATTTTCTAGGAAATGTTGCTGTATCTCAGCAGTTGTCCTAGCTGTTTTGATCGCTGTTTTGATTCTTGTCCTGTGGTTGATATTATAATCACGCGAGACGAACAGACATATCGATACAATATGGTCGAAACAACTACCATGTTACATTTTGCAAATGTGAACAGTCAATGGCTGATAAGTATGTGTATCCAATTTATGAATATTACTGTGATTGGCAACTAACGCATTCTAATTAGGTTGTTTACCTGTTTCAGCGACAATCTAAAATTTCAAAAGTTAAATCCACATATGTTGTTATATCCGATTAAAACTCAGTAGAAACTGAGGTCCAATTGGTTCAGAATCAACATAAACATTAGAGAAAAATAAATAATGGGATATTATTAATTATGTGTTTCGAATAGGTAAAAATAGTCCACAGTCATAGTATTTTCAATAAAACTATGCTGGTTGTTTCTGAGAGCTCAATAAATGTATCATCATGGTATACGCTAGGTCACACATCATGGTATTCTCCAGGTCACACATCCTAGTTGTTGTGGACGGATAAAGTCCAGCACAGGTCCTTTCCCTTATTAACACACAGCAAGACAATCTCAGTATGCAAAGTCAGTCAAAATGAGAAACTGGATGAACGTTGTGTACAAGACAAAAAAAAAAAACAAGACTAACAAGTGAAACGTGCTTTCGGTCGGACGCGTGTTTTGCGTGAATCGCGCGTGATCGTTGGGATTACTTCTCCTACGTTCGCAATGGGTCCGACTTTTAAAATGGT